GGGGCCGGGAGGGGGGCTGGCACCAGGCTGTGACCACGGGGCAGAGTGGGCTGCAGGCAGGAGGAAGGGGCCGGCGGGCGCATGCGTGTCCTCGGGCAGGAGCAGGCAGCTCGCGGGGGAGGCGAGAGCCCCGCGGGGGCAGCCCGGGCTCTGCCTCCCCACTAGAGGCTGAGGTCCACCACCACGTGCCGGTAGACCAGCGTGTTGGCCTTGAAGCTGGGAGCCAGGAGGAGCTGCACATCGGCAGCCGGCACGTAGCGGAAAGCCCGCGGCGCCTGAACCGACAGCTCCTGAAACTTGACGAATTTCTGCTTCTCCTCTTCCCACAGGTAGACGTGGGTGAAGGAGAAGTCACTGCCCAGGGCCAGGTACTGCCGCTGCTCCACCGAGAAGGGCTGAATCACCATGGAGCCACGGGACGGCAGCGTCTGGAGCTCAACGAAGCGCTGTCCTTCCCATCGCACCACCTTGGAGTCACCGATGTAGCGGCTGAGGCAGAGGAATTGGTCCCGCTTCACCCTGAAGTGCTTCACCATCTGCACGTCCAGCATCTCCCCCACCTCCCCCTGGGGCGTGAATTGCTTCTGCGCCCGGCTCCACTGGTAGATGACGGGGGCTTGGGAGCTGCTGGAGATGAGCAGCCGGGGTTTGCCATCGTTCTCCACGTATTCCACGTCGGTGTCGCGGTGCCAGGCGTGGAGGGCTTGGTGGGAATAGAAGCCGTTCTGGTTGAGGCGGTAGAGGCTGGTGGAGCCCGCCTTGGAGCTGTCGGCGATGACAAAATACCAGTCGCCTTCGATCTGGAAGGCCTCGATGTCGTTGGGCTTGCGGGTCTTCTGGCTGTCGATGTCCTGGATCTTGATGAACTTGTCCACGGCGGTGTCCCAGCGGTAGATGTAGGAGCCTCCGAAGAGCTGGGCCACCACCACGTACAGCTGGTTCTGCGCCACGATGGGCTTGCAGTGCACTGCCGAGTGAGCTGCCAGGCAGGACCACGTCACGCCGGGACCGTGCCCTTCCCGAATCGCCCATCCGGGGGGTCCCCGACCCGGGAGGGGACCCCGGCCCGGATGCCTTACCAGGGA